AAGAATTCGATACGCGTTTTACCTGTTTCGAAAAACTTAGAAATGAATTAATTCTTTTCGAGAATCCTCTTACAGCGTCAATCGAAGAACAACATCTTGATTTACAAGATGAATTATGTAATTTACAAAGTGATATTTCTTTGAAAACGGTTAAAGAAACTGGTGTTGAATTTTATAAAATTTTATCAAAATTATCCTATCCCAAGCTTCGCGATTTCGGACTCCGAATTTATTCTATGTTCGGATCCACATATTTGTGCGAGACTTCATTTTCAAAAATGAAGTTTATAAAGAATGAGAAACGTTCTTCTTTAAGCGATGATTCTTTATCACGTCTTATGCGACTTGCTACATGCAATATAGAAATTGATGTTCCTGATCTCGCTTCTAAAAAATCCCGAAAGTCATAAATATTCAAATCAATTATTATTTATTATTCTGTGCAATTAGTTCATTTTAGTCATCAGTGGATTAGGCCTACTGGGGATACCACTTTAAAAAAAACGCGTCAACAATAGTACCTCATGGGTGACGCGGAAAGCTATTGCCATATGCCCGTTACTGAGCGCCGAGCGGCTCGTAGGCTTCGCGCGGGACGGCGAGGTAAGGGGGAACGCGATAGGCGGAGCCAGCTGAAAATCGGCCGAAATGTGCAGTTCTTGCCGAGCTCTGTACTAGACGATGCGAGGAATGGCTATATTATTGAAACCTTGGATGCAGATTACGAAGATATTGATGCTTTAAATAAATTAGATATTATCAATAGTATGCGATGTGGAAAACATGTTAAGAATTGCGCATTACAAAATGTATTTAAAATATTTAACTGGTGGTCGCAACGCCAGAAAGAATTGCAAGAAAATAAAACAAATATGTAAACATTAATATGTGTTTTATCTCTTATTTCCCCTCCCTAGACCTTTCCTTGCGTTTCTAAGAATATTTTATCTGAACGTTATTTCACCCTTCTCCTAAAATTCAAAGCGTTAGAAGCATTGATCCCCCCACCACATTATACTTTTGGATGATGAGCGTCACGTATACCCGGTTAATTCCTGTACGATCAGTCTCGCGTTAACCGCTCGTGGTTCACTTTTCATAACCTTCAAAGAAATGTACTACGTCGAAAGAAGCAGTAGCGGCAGCGACGTCGGAAGACGCGTGAATAATAATTACGTGCCGAGTCGTAATAAAACTTCATCGTTTGAGAACAAATGTGACGAGTAAGTTTCATTTAACTTTTTTTCTATTTTTATAATTTTATTACTATTATTTAATTTTAATTTTTCTATAGCATTTCGTTGGAGCGTCGTGCGACTCGTATACTAGGTAGACGATACGCATTGACAGCTACGGAATTCAAATTCCTCGAAATTATCAACGTGGGTCCACCGAGTTACGTGGAGATTGCCGTAGGAGATCATCGAAGAAAGGAACTGATATTATCTCTCGAACGTGAAAAGGACTCTACGAGCAACGTCGCAATATTCAAAATTGACTTCGGAACGATTCTAAAGATGACTACAATTTTATAAGCGTTGGACCGCTAACAGTGAGAGTTCGTACGATTAACGATGTCAAACTCATAAATCTCGAATCTTCGCATCTTCGGATGTACGCATGATGATGGTCGAATCGACGTTACATCGTATGTTCGATCTCGATCAATGCATAGATGTAACTTTTGATCGATTAGATAAAATTATCCAAATAGTTGATTTCAAATTTACGCAATTCTGCAATATCGCGTCCACTGTAACGAATCCGAAAGAAGTATCATATGTAATACGCGCGAGTGATGTTTTCAACAAGCATCAACTCGTCGATTGCGAGCTGGCAGCTTTAGCTTTTAATTCTTAATATGTAAGACAAAAATTATATTTGTATATTAAATATATAAGCAGAATAAATAGTTATAAATCTATATCATGGTGTACTTTCTTTGCGTTTGACGTGCTCTCTCGTCCCAGCTTTCATGCATAGCTCCTTGCGAGAGAATTATCATGAGAGAGTAAACACTAGGAAAGAAAGAGACAGAAGGAGTGATACGGCGCACGTGAGAGAAGAGATATCACGCAATGAAAATATTTTTGATAATTTAATATAATTTTTTAATAGTTTTCTTATAATTTAGTAATAAATGGAGCAATGAAAAGAGAGGGAGAGAGAGGAATTTGGAAAATAAATAAGATTTTTTTATATTAATTAATTAATTTTTAATAAAATAAAATAAAATGTGTATTATACATAGTGTGCAAAAGAATTTAAAATATACAAAATATAAATGTGTATTATACATAGTGTGTAAAAGAAATTTTAAAGAATTTAAAATATAAATGTATATTATATAAAGTGTGTAAAAAAAAGATACTGTAAGAAAAATTTAAAAGAATTTAAAATATAAATGTGTAAAAGATAATGTATGAAAAAAAATTTAAAAGAATTTAAAATACACAATATATACAATTATATAATATATATATATATATATATATATATATATATATAATACAATTATAAAAGTATAAAAAAGAATACAAAATATAAACGAATAATATATAATTGAATAATATAATATAATAGGAGGGCGATGGCAACGACGATATGGTGGTGGTGGGGTCGATGAGAGGCGATGGTGGGACGGCCGGTGGAAGAGTGGTGACTCTTTCTGCACATAAAAAAAATTTATTAAATATTTGAATAATTTGAAAATAAATACCTACACATGCGACCTACCTCCAATTAATGATCAGCATCCGTATCAGAATCGGAATCAGAATCATAACTGATGATATATTCTAGATAGTTATGCTGATGGATTCCTCGCATCCTTTCGGAACACGCTTCTCGATTTCCGCCTGGTAAACAGCAATCTCTGTAAATGGCTGCCTCTAGTTTGTTCCTCTTTCTAATCCGTATATCCCTCTCTCTAATCTTTATATATGATTTTAGATTGGAGGATTTCGCGATTGGAGAATTTCTTCCGCCAAGTTCGCGATTTCTTAAATATTCCACCACCGACATGTTCATTAATTTTTTATTCCGTTGCTTGTACACTTTAGTCTTATTCACTTTTTTAATGTTTTTTTTCACAAAGTGCATTGTGGACACATGTTGCACGGAAATGTCAGATATAATGGTTCTCTACAATTGGAACAGTATCGTCCATCCGTTGCATCCAATGTCTCAATTACATGTTTTCGTACGGCATATATCACTTGGGAGTCTACACCTTGCAGCTCAATCATGCAGGACGCACATACGGCTAAAGCGCCGCCAGTCGAATAATAAAAGAATATCGTGCAATACTTTTTACGTCCGCTTAATGCATTAATTTCTGTGATAGATACTATTTTTTCTCTGACTAGTGCAGAGTCACTATCCTCATTGCAGTCACTAATACAGTCACTGTCGGACGACAACACGTGATCTTCGTCTTCGTTTTCCATTTTATATATTATCACACAATATATATATATATATATATATATATATATATATATATATTATCACACTTTCTAACAGAACACTATCTTTTCTGACAAAACACTATACTTTCTGAGAGAACACTACTTTTGCTACCGACGTGTCGATGCGTTTTCAAATGACGTACTATGATCTGCTGCGCTTCGATCCTTCTTATATTCGACCAACAAGCTTTCAGAGATTGTCGGGGACACGAAAGAAAATTTTCTTGCAAATGTACCTAGGATCGTAGAAAATGTGCTATTATATTACACAAATTGCTTGAAAAGGTTGGACTGAAATATCTCAAAAATGTAAGTTTATGAAATAAAGTTATAAAAATATATATATAAGGGTAAAAAAGAGTATAAAAGATTTATTATAATATCCCATTTGTGTAAAAGGTTTTTTTTATAGTATCCCATTTGCAAAAAAAATTTCTTTTGTGTCCCCGATAATCTCTGAAAGCTTGTCAGCTTAATCTCTATTGTTTATACGTCGAACGGGAAAAAAACCTGGAATTATCTATATTAGGGGTGTACCTCGAGAGTACAAAGCAGCCGAACATCGACGCTGATATGTAAACGAGGAAGACACCTCCGATTAGTCAATCAAAGCCAGTTGTGTCCAATTGTATTGTGTCTAATCGAGTAATCCCCAGACAAAGCAGCCGATCATTAGCGCTATTAAAATTTTTCCTTAAAAATAAAATACAATAAAATACAATAAAATAAAATAAAAGAACCAAAAAAAGAATTAGGCCCAAAATCCTTTTCAAAAGAACAAAAAAGGATTAGGCCCAAAATCCTTTTCAAAAGAACAAAAAAGGATTAGGCCCAAAATCCTTTTCAAAAGAACAAAAAAGGATTAGGCCCAAAATCCTTTTCAAAAGAACAAAAAAGAAAGGATTAGGCCCAAAATCCTTTTCAAAAGAATACCACTCTTTTTGTCCTTTTGTTTATGCTTGTCATTCAACGTGAATTACCCACCCCGCAACCCCCTCGTGACGTCATACCCCCGCTCCACTGAGATCCCCTCGCACCTCACCTTCCTGAGAGGACCTGAGTTAGAAGTGGCCTAGTATACCTACTAAAGAAGTATACGAGAAGGATTTTTGGCGACTCGAAGACACTTTTTAAGCACTTTTTCATAAAAGTAAATATTACCGTTAGACAACTTGTTCGAAACAACTTTCAGTTAATTTTAATATTAAATTTAACTTCTAAGAACATATGTTATCAAGATTACAACCCTAAATGATCTTTAAAAGATTTCAGCTGTCACTCAATGTTTATTAAAAAGTTATAAACAAAATCATTTTCGCGAATTATATCTAATTTTTAAATATCCGCGTAAAACCATACAACAATAGACTTCATTTCACACTTACTCAGAAGTGATATGGTGTGGACCTCGCTTCGCGTGAAAACTTGCAAACCCATGTAGAACCGTATAATAGACCTCGTTTCGTGCTGATTCAGGAATAGTATAGAGTACATGGCTTTGCATGGAAAGTTGCAAACCTATGTGAAATCTTACTTAATAGACCTCGTTTCGCACTGACTCAGCGGTGATGTGGTGTGGACCTCGCTTCGCATGCAAAGTTGCAAACCTATGTTAATTGTGCATAAATGAACCTCATAATGTACTAATTGCAGTGATTATGAAGGTTGAGGCTCACTTCGCTTTGTGTGGAAAATTGCAAACTCATATGGAATCATACAAAAATAGACAGATAAAATCTTTTGGATAAAATCTTGTCATTGAAGATCTTGACAACATATCCTTAGAAATTACCATCAAGATCAACTGAAAGTCATTTTGCAACATATGTCAAAATTATAAAAGTTGAGGTGAGGTCGTCGCTAATATGCAGTTTTACCAAGTTCTTTTACCGAAAATTGAAAATCTATATAGAGTTGTAATATCGTAGAAAATACAAACTTTGTGTTCCATCTTTTTTTCATTTTTATTAATTTCCCGAATATGCATATCTTATGTCATCTAATAATTGGCAAAATGGATCTTTTCCAGTTGTTTTATTTTATATCGCCACAGATATTCATACATGTGATCGATTATCATATCTTGTCTAATACCACTTCTAATTAAACGAGCTCGTAAAGAACGCCATGATAATTCAGTAGTTTGAATAAGCTTCATTATCCGGGTCCACAAAAAATTCGTCGAATGATTCACAATTTTGAAATCATCAAATTTTATGTAATCATATTTCTCCAAAGGACCCCGCACATTTTATATGAAAAAAGTGGCTTCGGTCAAATTGCTTAGCTGAAATTGAAATATGTTGTAGTTTAGGTGGTGCTCAAAAGTTTCCTCAAGCCAAAAAGTTAGAAAATCAAAAGTATAAAAGATACCATGATTTTTGAAATGGTTGATATTGAAGTTTAAAAAATGTCTGTTTTTGAATACATAAATTAAATTAATATGTATTGTTACGCCCGCGGCGAGGACTTCGATAGATATCGAAGGCGCGCTAAAGAGATCAACCGCTCGCGAGACGCGCGAAATAAATAAACACTTTTAAAAGGAACTAAGAACTTTAATGCACAACACAGAACACAAAAGCGTAATCACAGAACGTTAACACATAATAATAATAACACGGATCGGCTCGATAGAAATGCGCGTCCGCTCAGCTTGACAGCTGGCTCCAGACTCAAATGACAGACGCTGCTGTCAACAACCTCTTGACAACCAGATGTTCTTGTTAATCGGCGCCATCCCGACGAACACGGACATCAGAGGCGTAACAATATAAATGTTTGAAAAAAATATATATATATTTGTTTTTCTCCAGCCACTTCTACAGTATTTAATGATTTTAAACTTTTTTTGTCATGTGTGTATATTACGTAAAGATCAAGTACAGCGCGCGCACATATGCACGCACGCACGCACGCATGCATGTACGTATATATAACAGAATGGATTTGGAATCATTAAATATTGTAAAAATGGCACACATTATATATAAATATTAATATTTATTATTTATGTATTATATATATATATATATATATATATATATATATATATATAATACACACCTCGTATATACACGGTGGGCCATTTTAATCGATGCACTCGAATATCTCGAAAACAGCACTCTTCAGAAAGAAATGTTTCAAACAAAAATTGTAGGGTGTGAAGGGGGACATAAGATGGTAGCATTGGTTTGACCTTGGAAAGTCATTTGAAGGTCACATAAAAGTCACCTTCAATTTCTTAAATTGAACCCACTATTTTTCATTACATATTCTTGTAGCTTATCTCGAGAGCTTTCCAAAACACTACAGACAAATGTTTTTTCATTAAATACTTTTTGAGTTATAAGGCTTCAAAGTTTGCAGTACTTCGATATAAAATGAAAAATATCTCGTAAAATATTTAGTTTTCGGTAGTCTTACCCTAATACTTTTATGCACAGGATAATGAGACAAAACTATTGGTGCAAAGAAAACGTATGATTGTTTATGATAAAAAATGTGTAATTTGCAATGCACTTTTTGTTATAAACAATCATGCGTTTTCTTTGCACCAATAGTTTTGTCTCATTATCCTGTGCATAAAAGTATTAGGGTAAGACTACCGAAAACTAAATATTTTACGAGATATTTTGCATTTTATATCGAAGTACTGTAAACTTTGAAGCCTTATAACTCAAAAAGTATTTAATGAAAAAACATTTGTCTGTAGTGTTTTGGAAAGCTCTCGAGATAAGCTACAAGAATATGTAATGAAAAATAGTGGGTTCAATTTAAGAAATTGAAGGTGACTTTTATGTGACCTTCAAATGACTTTCCAAGGTCAAACCAATGCTACCATCTTATGTCCCCCTTCACACCCTACAATTTTTGTTTGAAACATTTCTTTCTGAAGAGTGCTGTTTTCGAGATATTCGAGTGCATCGATTAAAATGGCCCACCGTGTATATATATATATATATATATATATACAGGGCGATCCCGAAAAACCTTCCGTCTTTAAAATGACGTATTCCTGACACTATTCAAAGACAATTTTTTCTTTACCAAAATTTGATTTGAAGCGTAGTTTTTGAGTTATAAGCAAAAATAGTTAGTAAATCACGCGTCGAGTACAGGAGGCAGGCAGGGGCGGCCCGGCGCGCCGTGAACGCGGGCGCAGCTGATCGCCCGACAGGCGATTACCACTGCATGAGTCACTAACTATTTTATCTTATAACATAAAATTATGCTTTAAATAAAATTTTAAAGAAGAAAATGTCTTAGAATTACATCAGGAATACGTGTTCCTTAAAATAATGTTAATTATTAAAAGTTATTCCGGATCGCCGACCGTCGAACGCTGTAATCAGCTGATTGCTACATGCGATGTGTGTATGGTGGAGTGTGTGCGTAAAAGAGAGAGAGAGAGAGAGAGAGAGAGAGAGAGAGAGAGAGAGAGAGAGAGAGAGGGAGGAAGGGTAAGGGTGAGAAGGTTTTAGCCGATTGTTCGTCTTATCTCGCGTCAATCACGCGCCACGCGCAAGGCGTTTATTGTTAGATGTCGCGTGTCGCGTTTCTGGCAACACATAACCCTCGTGGTCGCGCAGTCTCCGCGGTCCGTCGCTTCGCGTCGAGTCATGTGTTCTCTCGCATTCGCGTTTCTTTTAAAGTAATTTTAAGTCTCGATAAAACGATGTGAATCGAGTGAATAATAAACAGTAAACTCGTTATCGCGTAATCTGTGTCAATCGAGTGTAAGAGTGTTTCGAAGTGAGAAAGTTTCGATGTGCCGCGCATCTCTAACAATCAGCGGTGCAGCGATCTAATAATCGTGCAGCAGTTACAACAATACGTAGCATGAAGATTCGCTACGCTGCTACCAGGTGAGTGAGCAATAAGTAAGCAGAGTAAGTGAGTGAGTGAGTGAGAGAATGAGTGACTAAATGACAGAGTGTTGTAAAAGAGAGAGAGAAAAAAGTGTATGCGTACGTGCGTGCGTGTGTATGAATGTCTGTCCCTTTTACCCTTCCTCCCTCTCTCTCTCTCTCTCTTTTTCTCTTTCTCTCTCTCTCTCTCTCTCTCTCTCTCTTTTACGCACACTCCGCCATACACACATCGCATGTAGCAATCAGCTGATTACAGCGTTCGACGGTCGGCGATCCGGAATAACTTTTAATAATTAACATTATTTTAAGGAACACGTATTCCTGATGTAATTCTAAGACATTTTCTTCTTTACCAAAATTTTATTTAAAGCATAATTTTATGTTATAAGATAAAATAGTTAGTGACTCATGCAGTGATAATCGCCTGTCGGGCGATCAGCTGCGCCCGCGCTCGCGGCGCGCCGGGCCGCCCCTGCCTGCCTTCTGTACCCGACGCGTGATTTACTAACTATTTCTGCTTATAACTCAAAAACTACGCTTCAAATCAAATTTTGCTAAAGAAAAAATTGTCTTAGAATAGTGTCAGGAATACGTCATTTTAAAGACGGAAGGTTTTTCGGGATCGCCCTGTATATATATATATATATATATATATATATATACTTGATAATGTCAACATATGTTGGGGACATGTGTACCAACATAACAAAAAAAAATTCGAAAATCGAATGTACGTAGCCTGCGAAATTTGAAAAGTCACCTTTTTTTTTAACACACCTCGTATATATATATACATATTTTTTTTCAAACATTTATATATTAATTTTTTTAGGAAATAATTTTTTAGATCGACGCGCAAATAGATATTGATATGACATAACAATGAATTAGGAATTTTGGGAGAGAGCATCTGGATGGCACGCGCGAAACGGTCTTCACTTCCGTCTCGAGCCTCGCGGCAAACAGCACTCTTTCTCATAATAATTGTGCGACTCTGATTCTCATTGTTAGTGTCGAAAGACTGTTTTTTATTGATTATGAACTCGATATTTGTGACAATCTCTGGAGTAGAATATAGTTAATTATATACAATTATTTCTTAGTAAAATCAGTGTACATTTATTGTTCACAGTCACGTGTTTGTTTGACCGACACGCGGATTCTACCGGAGAATCTCCAACAAATTTAATTTACTCAAAAACAGACGTTTTTTAAACTTCAATACCACTCATTTTAAATCATCGTATCTTTTATACTTTTGAACTTCTTTTAAACTTTCTAATTTTTTAAACTTTTTGCCCCAGGAAACTTTTGATCAGCACCTAAACTACAACATATTTCAATTTCAGCCAATTTGACCGAAGCCACTTTTTTCATATAAAATGTGCGGGGTCCTTTAATAGCCCGTTTTTTCGTGTGAGTGTATATTCACTAAGTAGTCACCAAAGATATCCAGTGGATATTCATATACTTCCATGAGCTTTACGCTTCGCCGTTAAGTAGTGAAAAGGAAAACACCTAACCTGAAAGTGAGATCCATCTAAGACAGAATATAAGGCTGTGGCACAGGTGCCGAGAGTCACAGATTATCGTAAGCTCGCAAATATTTTGAGTATAGTTAGAAAGCGTGGGTTATGCCGCGTGGGTTTAGCCGCATCTCCTCTAGCTTCTGCGAGGAGCTCCAGAGCTCCACAAATTAACCGGTTAATTTTTTTAAAATTCCGTTTATGTATCTATATACAGAACATTAAGTGAATATCCATCCAAAAATAAATATCGATATACATGTAATAAATGTATCTGTTATGTTTGTTTTGTATAATGTCTAAAGGGAACCCACGGGCTGGGAAATGAAGTTCAGGATGAGGCTTCATGTGGTAATAGTAGTGCTTGAATCTCATACCATGCTCAAGTCATAAGACCTCATAGACCGCCAGGTCCGAGAAAAAACGCCTCAAACTTCGTGTAGCAATTTATATACCTAAAAGTTTTCTCCACTGCCAAGCGACCTGATGAAGCGGAGCGGGCCAGCGTGATAAGCTAGAGATTCCGTGTTCCGAATTCCGACCCTCTGCTCGTGAACTTTTTTTTTCATATATTTCTTTTATGCATTTTATTTTTAAATTTGTTTAATATTATAATACTAATCATGCAAATATTTATTATTATTACAATTTTATTATCTTTATTATTAATTACGTTAATATCATAATCATAAGAATTATAACAAAAATAGTATTTTCGTAAAATCTATCGCTGTAAAATATTTATAGGCGGTATAATACATCAAATATTATGTATAGGAGAATAATAATGACGTCAAGAAAAATAGGAATTATATTTGTATTTATATTTATTCACAATCCGATTTTTTTTCTTATTTACAAAAACCCGATAATTATCACAAAAGCATTCGAAACAAAAGACATTTCGGCAATGTGAGCAACAAATAAATGATAGTTGCTTACATGTACAAGGAGTTTTGAGAAGGTCTAGCGAAAAGCAAACTTTATTAACATTTCTGAAAATTTTTCTGTCGTCCGTTAATTTCGAGGCAAACCAGGCGTATTGTATCATACCAGCCTCATCTTTTTCAAGGTATAACTTTTGAAAATGAAAAGTATAGACACATAATATTTGACGTATTATACCGCCTATAAATATTTTACAGCGATAGATTTTACGAAAATATTATTTTCGTTATATAATTCTTACGATTATGATATTAACGTAATTAATAATAAAGATAATAAAATTGTAATAATAATAGTAATAATAGTTAATAATAATAGTTATTTTTAAGAAAAAAAAATGTAATTGTTAATTGCAAATTACATTTTTTTTCAAAACAATTATGTGTTTTCTTTACACCATTGATTCCTCTCATTATTTAGTACATAAAAATATTAAGGTAAGATAATCGAAAAATGAATATTTTACAAAATATTTTACAGTTTATGTAAAATTAAGAAATTATTTCAAGCCTGATAACTCGGAAAGTACTTAATTATAGTGTTTTGGAAAGCTCTCGAGATAAGTTACAAGAATATGTAATGAAAAGTGAAAAGTTTCATTTCAAAAATTCAGTACTTTTGTATTAATATCGTATAAAGTATTTAACAGAATTAAATATTACAGATAATATTGCACTATTGATAAGTTGAGATAGTTGTAATTTCCCTATTCAAATGTATCAGATAGTTGTAATTTCCCCATTTAAATGTAACATGTAATATATACTTCTTTATTAATAATTAGATACGAGCAAAAATTTCGGAACGAATTAAATATCCTCAAAAATAGTTTAGATTAGAATATAAAATATTATATATTAAAAATGTATTTAACAGATTACAAAAGTGTTAATGTCGTATTTACTGAGGGATATTAAAACTATTTTGTTTAAAATAATTTTTATAAAAATTAAAACTTATTTATGAAAGCTTTATAAACAATTCTTCGTTTTTACAAAAATTTTTCTATATAAAAATTATTTTAGATTAAAATATAATTCCAATATCTCTTTCTAATTCTTATTTTTGGATTTTGTGCAGTATTTTCATAGAAAAAGGGAATCTGTTGGTATATTTGTATATTATTCCATAACATATTACGAAACAATTATAAGCAAAATGCAATAAAATTTATTGGATTCTTTTGAATCTTAAAGTGTTTATTCACTTATAAATTATAATTTTTCTTCTTACATTGTTTTTTCACAACATATTTGTCACGAAATAATATGATTAAAATGAGAAAATAATAAACAGCGTATACAATAAATTTTCATTTTATATATGTTATTAGAATAAGAATATGGATTGAAAAAAAATACAAGAATAAAAAAGAGCTTAGTTTAATTCTATTAATTTTAGAACGAAGTATTTCAATTATTTACAAACTTATTTATTAAACTGAGAGAGAGAGAAAGAGAGAGAGGGGAAGAGAGAGAGAGAGAGAGAGAGAGAGAGAGAGAAAGAAAAAGAGAGATTTTTATGTTTATTCTTTTCTATGTATTTACCTGTCTTCTTACATGTGTCGTAAATAGCATCCGGGAAATTGATTATCTCCGAGGATATTGCGGAGTTTTGTGTTGTGTGTGAGTATCCTAGTTCCAAACTAGAGGTCACTGAAGTACGACGTATTCGGGATGGTCTGCCCGTAGATGTATTTACAATGACGATTGTGCTGCAACTGCTGCTGCACTGTGAATCTTCAGCAGTTATCATAGTATTCGCTGCGAAACATGTCATCGATGTAGAATTGATATCAGAACTATCAAATTCTGAAAATTGTCCTGTGATTACATTAAATAATATGCGCATAAGTGATTTATGATTGCGAAAAAACTACGTCAATTAGATAAAACCGTACTCAAGTAACTAATTGTCCATAAGATTGCTGTCATGTTGCCAACAATTGTATTAATAACTGTATTAATAATTGTATTGATAACAATCATATAATTAATATTATATTCAACACGACAACAATATGAATAATTAATATGATTAATTTCACTTGATTATCTGCTCAAAAAAAATATAAAAATCAAAGTAATGTCAATTTGACATCAAATGATAAATAATAGATATTGAAGTATTATAAATCTTATCTACTTTAGATTCATTGAAATCAAGCTTCATTCTGAAATCTTCCTTTAATTACCGTTCTTATTCTAATAATACATGCATAAAATAAAAATTTTATCTTTCACAAGTTTTCTTATATAACATATAACATTGATAAATATGTAGCAAATGTGTAGTGAGGGAGCAGCACGAAAGGGAAATTCCAGTTTATGGAAGATAGTTGACCCAAAATAAAAGGAAAAGAATGGAGATAAAAAGATGTGCGCAAATTATTTTACTGTAGTGTTTTTAAAAAGGCAATATATATTTTTTCAATGGCTATATATTTTTTCAATAATAATATGATAGTTACATGATTATACATGAAACATACATTCTTGTACATAATCACATAAAACGGAAGTTCCCGTTAACGCATATTCTGATAATACACATTCATGCATATTAATCAATAACTATCATGATTAGTTAACTAGAAAATCTTAATGTTTAATTAACAAGTTAATTAACAATGTGCACTATTAGATCCCACTCGCGTCAAACATACATTCTTAAACAAGATATTCCAAATTTTTTAGCCAAACAAGCCAGTATATTGTATGATCAGAAATAAAAAAAGAAGATATGAACATATTGGGATCTGACATCCGTAGTCATGACATCTGGTGGCGAGAAATAAAAGCAGTAGAAGCCCACTGTTTGCATAGCATTGTACTGCTATTTTATTAATTAATTAATTATTATTATGGATTGCGGGATATTTTCTCCGCGTTCTAAAAGTTTAAATACAGATAAAGCAGTAAAGCTAACCACATCACTTTTGCAGTTTTGTATATTTTTACTGCATTTAATTATATGCCCTGCTTGAAATATCCTTTCACCCTCAACGAATTTTCTTTGGGCTGGATTTGTATCAGCTCAATGACAAATGCTTTGTCTAGCATTCACTAATTAACATAATCAATAAAATATTACATTGTTTCATAACAACACTATATTAAGCATGGACTTCTCGGCGCCATATTGATGATGTATGCATATATGCTCCGCCCCCATGTCAAATCCCAATATAAATTATTTGAAACTTTATTATAGTTAATGAAAATAATGAAAGTTAATAAAAATATGGAATTGAAAAGCACGATTTAGTATTTCACGTTAAGTAGGTAAGCCAAAGAAGTCACTTGTTAACAGCGATGGATTTTTTAAAATGATTTTATAGTCTATTTTTGGGCGCCCTAAACATTCATTATCATTTATGGATGTACGTACAATCACGTTTAAAGTCAACAGTCTATTTCTTAATAGTTAAAAATGATGGTGAAGACCCAAAATTGAATTAAGGTTGTTTTCCATTTTTGTTAGCGTTAAGTCTTGTAAAACGAAATATTTTATTTCTGCATGATATTCGACATTTTATCAATTTAAAAAAAAAGACAACTGAAAGTTGTTTGCTTCGCATGACCAAAATAAAGAAACTAGTCGCATCTGTTTGAAATTTTGATAATAACTTTATACAAAATCAAGTTTGTCAAAAGTTATTATAGAAATTTTGATAATAACTTTATACAAAATCAAGTTTGTCAAAAGTTCGATACTTCTGATTAGGTTAGGTTAGGTATCACCTTCTCGTTTTATTCTCGTTATTATTCTCGTATTATCGGATTTCATAATAGGCTGTTTAACTAATAATTTTGGTTTCAATTATATCAGAAACATATCTTTATTTTTGTTCTACAAACAGAAATATGAATATCTTAGGCAAAAAACACAAAAAACTAAAAGTTATAACTAATTTTATAATAAAGTCTTGTAACGATGCACCCCGTGCACCTCCTTAATTGCATCGTCTTTCCCGGCATGCGATCCGCCGGAAGCTGCCGCCCGGCAGAACACCCGCCGGGCATAGGCAAGGGCGCGGTGCGCCCACATTTTTTAAACACTTTAAGTCGTTAGGCTAATAAGCCGAATACCACCGAGCGTTGCCGACGTGCTCCGAACCGTCGACCGGTCGAGCGCGAAAACCTGCGCTCGGCGTGCATCCCGAACCCCTCCGAGCGAGCCCCGACCGTATCGCTTTCCGATAATCCGTTTGGAAGGAGTAAAACCGCCGCGAGCCGACGCGCGCAATTAGCCGGTATAAAACGTTCGGCATACTAATCACCCTTTTTCCGATCCACTCACGACAGTGTAGCAGCTCCGAAACCTAGACCGCTCCAGAAAAACTAAACCTAGATTCAAGGAAAGGAGGCAGATCGAACTCTTCTTCCATCGAGTATTCTCGATCCTCGAGGCTCCTCAGGCTCACTCCATCTGAACCATAATCCGACCAGGAAAGGAATCAGAGTGCATTCTGATTCCGTCGAGAGTTCTCGATCACCGATCCACGATCCGACCGCCAGACGCTAGTGCATTTTCACGAGGCAGAGAGGAGAGCTACCTCGGACGAGTTATTCTCGTCAGCACAGAGTTCCTAAGGAATTTCTTTACACCGGGAATTACGTCGATAATTCGGCGTAAACACATTCAGTGAAAGATATCGTCATTTCACGGAAATATCGCGCGCATTCTAGTAAACACAGAAAAAACAGACTAGACCGATCGCCCAGACACGCGTCAATAAAAACCATACGCGCTACGGCAATCGATCATTGACCGCGCCGAATTCATAACACATGCCGTAAACAGCATTTAAAGCTACGAATAATATCCGAAACCGAGTTCTGCAATACGCACTATTAGAAGATACTGTACACATTTTTATAATTGCGATACTGTTATACGGCACGCTCACGCCGTGCATTCGCCTTGTAACATCTGTATATTGTCCCGAACAATTATTTCGCGTCTCGCGCCGAATATCGCGTTCTGATAATTCACACTCACTGTATCCGCACACATACACACACTGTATTACACGTATACAATAAACACTTTCTCTGATTTCACACACACGCTCTCGCTCATTTAATCACCTACCGAACTCTGATTTCCGATTCCTGCTATCCGACGGCAAATCGCGCGGAAATTACCTGTGACAGTCTCAAATGATTTAGTTTTAATTAACATTTCTTCAACTTCTTATTGCTGTTCACTTTAGAAAAGTCTGCGACACCTTGTATAATCTCACATAGCATAATATTTCCGCAGGACATCCTAATTTGATCGAAATGATCCCATTTTGATCCAAATTAAAAAGTCATCCATAGGATTACTTGAGAATATCTCGTATAACATAAGATTTCCGTAGGACATTCTGATTTCATCGAATAATCTTGATCGACCTTTGGACGCACGTCAGTGAGCGCGCCTGGTAGTGTACGTGAGCGCTTCACCGCTATGGCGCTACGTCATGCCGTTATCGTGGAATATTCTTATGCATTGTAATAATGTAAAAAATTTTTATTTTGCATTAAAAATCGTATTTTTCCGTTAAAACAGTTTCCCTAAAGAAAATTCCGACAAAGAGGCCGAAGCTTATTGGCGCAACTTTACTCAATAATTACCACTTTATTAAGCATTATAGAAAAAAATTAGTTTAGGACTTTTCGACTCGATTTTTAATCAGGAATAACGCTATTTGCTCCGTGGGCGCTTTTCAGTTATACCCTATGTGGGTATATATATATATATATATATATATATATACAATGTGTCCGTCGATTTTCGACCTAAATGAAATAAATAAGTAGATTGGCTCGAATTAAGAAGGAATGACTTGTATTGTTTTGGGATTGTCGCAATAATTAACGAAATATTAAATAAAAAAGATCTGCGTGAGTAAAAGCGCGCGGCGACGAGAGTCGTCCCACCGTAATCCGATACTACGAGCGCGGCGAAGCGGTGGGCGGGTCGCTCTCCGAGACATGATGGTGGTTTGCGATATATCGCAATACCGCGCCGAAAAATGACCCGTCCCCCCTTTTCGTGGCGAGAAAATGATGCGCTATCATTTCCACACCACCTTGCGGTAGATAGCATGGTGCGCTTTTTTTATAGTGGTTTCCCCCATAGGCTTATTCCACTCTCAATTTAAAAATTATTCAAAATGCCATTTACTATACGCTGAATATATCGTAAATGTAAAAAATTAATGGACAGTACCTTTACAAAAATTGATTCTTGGTTGAAAATTCCTCGATAAAATGTATTGCACACGTTGATAATGTGATATGATGATAAAATTCTTCAAGAATCCTTTCTTCATCTCCTACACGAAGACGCACTGCTGGACCGGTTATCCCGATGTTATGCACGATACTCAGTTTCACATAATTATTGCACAACTACAGCTGACAGCTGAGCGGACATGCGAGTGTAAGCGTACGTGTGAGTTCGACGCCTGCGCACTATGATTACACTCGCATGTCCGCTCAGCTGTAGTTGCGTGCTGCTGGCGTACGCAGTCTGGTAACAGCGTGCGAGAGCTAAGACGTTTTAATAAAAATCTTGTGTTTGCATAGAAAATTAACAGAGAAAATGAAGTGTACTCTGCAGGAATATACGGATATGATTGTGGCATACGGACTAGCGGGAGAAAATACTTATCGTGCGGCCGCAATTTACATGGAATCATTTCTCGGGCGTGCACGAAAACCAAGTGGACGTACAATTTTACGTGTTGTGCAATAATTATGTGAAACTG